TAATGAGACGTCACTTTGGAGAAGCGTTTCAGAGCCCTTCAAAATCCTGGCCTAACCCTCGTCAAAACTGCACAGATTACTTAAGATTTACCGCACAGACGCAAAATAAAATGAAATAAAATAAAGTACGGCAGGCCCAGCGAGCGGCGGCCCTGTGACAGGACCATTTGTAGTCGGGTGGAGAAGCCTCCGATGCATCTGCTTAAGCGCAGCAGCTTCTGTTTACTTCGCACTTTCATGTCAAATGAATTTGGAAGGAGAAAAAAAGTGACAGGCAGTTAGGGATATAAGTCACATTTCAGCTTCGGTTCAGATTAATGAACTTGCTGAAGCCGGTGAGGGCACTGGCAAATCCACAAACCTCAGAACAACAAAAAAATTAATCCCCTCGGCAGAGCCTCAGCCCTCACAGTGGCTCCTCTGAAACCCTCCGCTGACCTTCCACCTTGTGCCCCTGCACCCCAGGCTTGCACGGACACCCTCTGAGTCCCTGGGCTGGCTCTGGGCATGGTGCCCCTGGGACAGGCCCCAGGTGAAGGCGGTAGTCCTGTGGCACCGGGGAGGGCTGGCCAGGGCTGGCTCTCAGGGACCACCCAGCAGGGCCGAGGCGCACGTGAGGCAGCGAGCGGTGCAGGAAGCCTCCAGGGCCCTGGGCCAGAGCAATGGCCTCTCCCATGTGTGTGGCAGATGCGATGGGCACCAGGCTCGGCAGAACAGCCCGGTCCCACGCCTCGGGCCTCTGGGGAGAGGTGGTACATGGCCAGGACACCACCAGCAAGCACCTGTCAGCTGTTGCCCCGCCCCACCCAGCCACATGGCCAGGCATCTGCAGGCCAGGGCGACAGGCAACATAGCCCGTGACGGGCAGCAGAGATGGCACCGTGGATGCTGCCCCTTGGGGCAGGAGTCCCGCCCTGCCGGTGGCACACATGCACTGCTCCTTCTCTCCTCCCCCTTCTGCCCCGCCCCCATCTCCACGCACTGTCTGGTGCATGCCTCAATGGTGTGCCATCCTCAGAGACCCTGGTTGGCATCACGCAGAAGCCCCAGGAGCAGCTGCCCAGCAGCCTCTGCCTTCCACCTCACAAGGATGGGTACTGGCCAGCCACGAACATGAAGCCATGGGCCGGCATCCAGCTGGCTCTCCCACCAGCTCCTCCATGGCCAGGCCCAGAGAAGCTGCTGACAGGGAGAAGAGGCCCCGGCCTCTACTACAAACCTGGCTGTCAAGGGACCCTGAGGCTGCCCTCCAGCCTCCCACATGGGCCCAACGTAACCACTGGGTCGACAGCAAGTTTCTACTTAAATCAGGAGGGGGAGAGTGAGGGTGCGTACCAAATCACCCCCTGGGACAGGGCAGAAGCCTGGGCTCAGGCCGGGCACCCACTTACCCACCCTTCCTCCCTTGGGCTGCAGGGAAGGGCAGTTTCTAGAGCTTCCCAGAGGAGGGAACAGACCTAATCACCCTGCACCCTCCCCACTGCCCAGGGCAGAGCTAGGACCAACCACTCAGGACCTGGGGCTCTCTGACAGAAAGCCAAGGGTAGCTGCAGAGGGGTCCTGGGGGCTAATGGCCAGGAGAGAGACCCCTTCCCTCAGGGTGGTGCAGTCCCCACCATGAGCATAACAGCTAGGGGGAAGGAAAGGGAGAGGAGAGGGGCAGGGGAGGGGGAGGGAAAGGGAGGGAAGGGGAAGGGAGGGGAGGGGAAGTTCCAGGGACGGGGCAGAGAAGGGACAAGGTGAGGGCTGTTGTCAGCAGCAGAGCCATGCAAGCCTCACTGCGGGAGCCTGTGTTACAGTTTCTTGTCCCCCCTGAGCAGGGCCCCGTCCCATCCCTCTCAGGACAGGGGTGGTGGGGGTCCTGCCCCCTCCTCCGTCTTTGGGGTTCCAGCCCTTTGAGAGGCAAGCCCTGTCTTGAGCCCCCACCAGAATCGAGCCCAGAGACCCTAACCCATTCCCCATGGCACAGGCAGGCAGGGACAGGCTGTCAGGTTCACACCTCGCTGCCCCAGGCCACACCCTGCTCAGGATGCTCAGCCACTCCCCACAGCAGCCCTCGGACTTCCGGGACCCCTGCCCAGACCCCCAAGGCCTTCCCTCAACACTCAGAGCCCCCTGGGCCTCGCTGTGCTCCCCAGTGTCGTCCCCTCGCAGGGCCTCTGCCAGCGGCTCCCTCTCCTCCCAGAGCAGTGCTGTTGGCGGCGTCCATCTCCAGGGAACTGGGGCTTCACAGAGAGCAGGCCCGGCTCCATGCTCAGAACCCGTGCGTCTGCTTCAAGGACAGAGCGAGACGCTGAGCCTGTGAGGGGAAGAGGCCTTCCAGGGCCTCTAGGGGCAGCAGGCCCCACACCCACACACGACTTCCTCTCGGGATGACCAGATCTCCATCACAGTGAGGGGTGGGCAGGGGGTGTCCCACACCAGCACTGGCCCTCAGCCGCTGGTCACCCTGCCCACCTCCCTCCCCTCCCGTGTGTCCACCAGCCCCTGCCAACTCTGACCACCGTGGCTTCCAGGACTGCTGAGGCCTGTCCGCCAGCCCCTCCAAGGGATGGGGGAGGGAGCTGGGGCCCAAAGATAGCCCTGGTCTCAGGCTCCAGCCAGCCGCCTGGCAGGACAGCCTGCCTTCTCCTCTCCATGGCAGCTCTTAGTGAAGGGTGGCCGGGGCCTGCCCAGGGAGGGCTGAGTGTCCAGCCACATGCAGGCAGCCTGGCTCGGATGGAGCGAGGGAGACGGTACATGGGCCAGGCCAGATCAGCCGCTGGCCAGACAGGCCCTTCCTGTCTCAACAACCCTGAGCCGACAGCAGGCCCAGCAGCCATGCTGGGACGCAGGTAAACCTGGGTGACAAAGGCCCAGCCCACTGGCAGCCACTCTTCCCAGGGCCTCCTGAGAGCCATGACCCTTAGCTCCGCACCCTCCCTGCCCACCCCTACACCCCATCCACAAGCCCAGGGCTCATGCACCGAAGAGTCCCAGATACCTGGCAAGGGGTGGAACAGGACTGGGCAGAGGTGGGCAGGACAGTGAGGAGGGGCCCCTCACACACCCCCTTAGCCATGTGTGCATCCTGGGGTGGGCTCAGCCTGGCCTTCACACACAGGGAGGACACTGAGGCCTGGAGCCCATGGCCACCAACCACAGCCAGGGTCTCCAGGGGTGGGCTGAATTCGGGATCCTGGTGCTGGGACCTTGAGCCATCAAAGACGGTGCCTGCTCCACCTCCTGCGCACCCATGCCTGTGGTCCAGCCCCTACACCCAGGCACCCAGAGAGCCATGGCCACTCCCTGCACGGCAGCTGGCCAGGCTGCATGTTGGAGGGACAGGGAGCTTGGAGGGAGCCTCTTAGCTGACCCACAGCTCTCAGCCGCATGGCGCCAACAGGAGGCCCTGGGCACTGGGCTGGCTGCCGACTCCTCCTCCTCCCAGCCTCCCCGGCCCCAGAGCCAGGGTGTACGACGACACCATCAGGGCCCAGTCAGACCCAAACCCAAGGCCTTCCTGGCCTAACAATCCAGAGGAAAGGGCTCTGCTGGGTCTGCCCTGAGGAACATCAACACTCGGCCCCCAGCTGTGCCCCTGGGAGAGGTGGACCCTCGACGCCGGCCTGACAACGACCACTGGAGGAGGGCAGGAGTGGAGAATCCATAAATCTGAACCTCATTCCCGATGATCGGGGGCTCTTATTAAGTAAATTAATTTAAGTTAATTTAGCTCGATCATGACTCCTGATCACAGTGATTTACTGAGGGGGAAATTGCATTAGGAAAGGCCATGCTCACCAGATAGAAGAACGGAAGAAAATTAGATCCACTTAGCACTGTGAATTAATATGGAAATAGCAGGTGTAAATTTAACCTTATCGAGAGAATAAAAATTATCTTCATAAATTTGTAGAAATAGCCCCCGAGATGCTTATAAATCTATTTAAAACAAAAATATTACAAAAAGTGCAGTAAAATTAATTTAAAATATACTCCAGCTATTGCCTCCAGAAAAGTCGGTGGCAGGGCCATGCTGAGTGCGGCCTGGCGATCCAGGAGGCAGCAGGGCACTGCCCAGTGGGCTCGCCAGATGCCTGACCTGCCACAGGCCCTAGGGCCACGCAGGGCTGTCCACACCAGTGGGTGGATCCCCTGGGGTTAGCCTCAGGCCTGGGAACCTCTAGCAGGGACTCACCAGACGGCCACGGTAGGGTCGGGGGCTGTGCCCTGCACTGTGGCTGCTTGCCCCGTGGCCCTGTCAACCGCCTCTGGCCCATGCCACTCCTCCAGGAGCAGGTTCCCACAGGGAGCGTCAGAGGACAGAGGGACACATGCCACTGCCTGCTTCCCATCTGCTGCCAGGGCTCTCACCCTCTCCCAAGCATGGAGATGGACACCCCCACCAAGCAAAGGAAGGACCAACCCCCAGGGCCAGGCCACCTGAGGCCCAGAGGCTGAGCAAACTCAACTCAGTGAGTAGCACAGCTTCCCAGAGTGGGGACCCCAGGAAGGCAAGAGCTATTTCCCACAGATGGAGCCGCGTTCCCAGCGTGCTTGGAGGTCAGAGTGCCGGTGGGGGCCAGACCGTAGGCGGGCAGGACAAGGAGGACAATCATACATTGACAGCTTCCAGCCAGGCCGCTCAAGGCCCAGCCTCTCCCACTAGAAGCTTCTCCCTGAGAGATGCTCAGACAGCACATGGCATGGGAGCTGGCCATCTGGGCGGCGATGCTTCCATGGCACAGAGCCCCCACCAGCTAACAGGCTCGCTGAGAACAGCAGGGCCTGTGTGTGCACGTGTGTCCGTCCGTCCTCATGTATGTATGTGTGGTATACTCAGGCTGGCCTCCTACTGGCTACAGATATTGCTAAAGAAACAGAAAAATCAAGCTGGTCCCCAGCCAAGAGCCAAATACCAAGCAGTTCTGCAATGCGCTCAGCTCCCCTGGCCCTCAGGGCAGGGTCCAGACAGCCCAGTCCCCAGGCCTGCAGGAGCATAGAGGAGGCTTTCCTACCTGGACAGTGAGAGCCGCCGGGCCCGCCAGGAGGGCAGAGACAGGGGGAAGGGCGGGGCGCCGAGAGATGAGGCCGGGGTCTTCTTGACGATGCGGTAGCGGGTCTTGATCACCTTGCTCGTGGGTGGGGTCCGCAGGGCATGCAGGCTGGATGCTGCAGAGAAAACCCAGGGCACACACCACAGATCAGGGAAGGTCGGCAAGGGCAAGGTCAGAGAGGACGCCCACGGTGCCAGCCCTGCCTGCTGCCTCCTCTGGGGCTTGAAGACTCTCTGTCGCCCCCTAGATGGAACCCCCACCCGACATGGCACACATATCCCTAGGGTGCCTGGCAGCTAATGCTTCAGAAGCTGACCAGTGCAGCCTCCAGGAAAGGCGGGCACTGGCCCCGCACACCCTCTAGCCATCAGGAGAAGCAAGGGACCGCCCACGGGAGAACCAGGAGAAGCCAGGGGCCTGGCAGCCAGGGACACCTTGGAGGCCCCTAGACAGTGTCCACCCCAGGGGGACTCGAGGTGAACGACTGACTCCCAGCAGAGCACTGAGGAAGGCAGATGGGCCACCTCCACCCAAGACAGCAAGGTAGGCTCCTGGCCTGTGCCCTGTACGTGAGAGGGGCGCTGGAGCACTCACCTCCTCAAGGAGCACCTCCTTGCTGCCGTGCCCAGACAGATTTATGTACTTAATCACTGTTTTCATAACATTCTGCAGGGTGATAGACACAATGGCTTTTTCCTGCTGAACGTTTCATGCAATTAACAGGAATCTGTTTTGCCCGAGTTCCCTTCCACTTGATAGCCGGCAATTTATCCATAGCTTCAAGGATCGTGTCTAATTGCCCAACTTTCATCATGTACAGCTCTGACTGCCCAGATAATTAAAGCCAACACAGCAGTGGGCGCAGGCCCGCCCTCCTAACAGCTCCCCTCGCAGCCCAAGGCCCAGGAGATCCTGCAGGAGATGTCCAGATGTCAGCAGAGCCCCTCCCTCACATCTTCTTGGTCCCACAGCCAAATAGCCCTTGAGGCACACTGCTCCTTAGACAGGACCGGAAACTGTTACGGGTTCCCAAAATCTCTTCCGGAGCCCTACACCCACCGGACCTCAGGCAGCCAGGGCCGCTCCCTGAGCCCCGCTTCTGCCCATCTCCCCACGGGCTCTCGCACCCTCCTGCCTGCACTGGCCTGTCCAGCTATCGACAAAGATCCGCTCCTGCAGGTGTGCCCCAGCACCGTCCAAGCCGCAGCCTCCACCCAGGCACCTGTCAGCCTGCAAGGGAGCAAGTCAGGAACATTCAGACCCAACATGGCATCAAAGCCTTCCCAAGAGCACCCCCAAGCCCACAGCAGAGAGTCTGCCAAATGAATTTTCAAGGTCTTATAAGCAAAGAGAGACCAACCAAAAAATCAATAATAGCTTGTTCCAACTAAGAGTCAGAAAACATAGAAGTCCTTAAGTTATCAATAACCCCGAGGTGATGCGTCAGCTTCCAGCCCTGCTGTGGGCTCCCTGCTTCTGCCTGAGGAGGGCATGGGCTGCCCGGGATGCTCCTGCCCCACTTGGGCCAAGCTGGGAGCCAGCCTCAGTACCTGGGCAGTCAGTGCACCCACTGGAGCACCACCAGCCATGGGGCCGGGGCTCGGGGCTGCCACCTGCCCACTCCCAACCCCAGAGTGCCCAGGTGACCCATGTGCCAGCCTGCAGCCTGCTTCCCACCGTGGCCTGCTCACAAGCCTCCCAGGCCGCCCCATGCCTCCCGCTCTAGGATGTAGAGCCTGGGGTGATGCTGGCCCCATGGAGCCATGGCACAACAAAGCTAGGGCGCAATCCCGCTCAGAAGCCAGGCAGTGCCTAGCAAGGCAGGAGGGACACTGGGCCACGCTGGGGCCCTGGGGCTTTGTGTTCCCCTCCTCCTCAACCACTTCCCCAAATTCTGAGCACAGGAGGCCCCAGACCTGAGCCAGCTCCATCCCGGTCACTAGATGCACAGCATCCCTTTGGCTAAAATCACCTATAACCTTGGGGACCAGAGCTCACCCTCCCTCCCAGGTCCAGCACATGCCACCTCCTCCAGGGAGTCCCAACCCAAGCACGCAGGACTGGACGCTGCATTCTAGAACACTCCTGCCCTGGAGCGGCAGCTTTGGGCAGGCAGGCCCCGGCAGGCAGCAGCACCACAATCACGCTCCTGCGTGGGACAGGCGGCCGTCAGCTCAGGTCAGGCTGCTCTGCCTCACTACATGTTACTTCTTACTGCCCAAGCACCATTCCTGCAAACCACATGGTGATAATGTGGTCCCGGCCTCTCGTCACAGCCCGGTCAGGCTGGGCAGGCATGTCCTGCACATGTCACCCTAGATAGACCCTCTCCCACAGTCCCCACCAGAGTGGGGGCACTTCAAGAGGCTCAAAGTGGGGAGACGGCAACCAGTGAAGGTCCAGGGCTGCACCCCACCCCCACAGCAAGGCCGTGCGCCCCACGGCCTGCCCTGCAGACCACGGGCAGTCCCTTTCATTCCCAAATGGGCAGCTCGGACAAGTTCATGACGACGCAGGATCAGCAGGGCACAGCCACACAGACTGGCAGTGGGGCATGAATTCCAAGCCGAGCCTCCAGCGGCTGGCAGGAGCAAGGGCTCCTAAGACCATGCCTGGCACACGGACCCAGAAAGGGCTGGAGGAAGGAAGGGTCCCTCCCTGGCCCTGTTCCCCAGGGTGTGCAGCAACGGGGTGGACAGGTGGCAAGGCTTGGGAGGCTCCAGGATGCTGCCCTGTGTCCAACAAGGACCCAGGCAGAAACAGGCCTCTGCCCTCCTCCCTGAGGACACCGGCCCAGGTGCCCATCCCTCCTAGCTGGCTGGGGTTTGTGTAGATAGTCGTGTTATTTAGATAGGATGTTGGTTTAATTCCCTTCATTACAGACTCCCAGGGCTGTAATTTTTTTCTCCGCGTGATACATCCCCACAGCACGCTCTACGCACATCAAGCCCCTTGCGCCTTTATTGCCAGCGCTGCCCTGGCCCGCGTTATCAGCCCCACACACGCAGCCCTCTCCGCCCGCCATCCAGAGGTCACTTCTAATGACTAATCGATCTCATTAGCTTTCCTAATTAAAAACTTTACTACCGCAATGGAAGACAAACTACAAAAAAACTGCTGGCATCATATGTGAATGGGATATGAGCCCATCCATCAGCAGGGTTCCAGCTCTTGCACACGGCACCATGCCCTCAGGCTGGGGGCCAGGTGGGGCGGCCCTCGGGCATCCCCGGAGCCCTGCTGTGTACCAAGCACCACATGCCAACGACGCACTGTCAGGAGGGCGGCCGTGCGGCTGGGCCTGGCCATCGGGGGCCCAGGAGTGTGGTCCCATCCCCAGCAGAGCTGCTTCGCCTGCAGAGCCTGGCCCTGCCCACCCAACTTGCTCTCCTCGGACAATTCCAACACAGATGGCTGATCTGATCAGACAGAGGTCGAGGCCTTGCTCTGTTTTATGCGGAGCAGGAGTTGAGGGAGAGTTCAGATTTTTATGGAACTTCAAAGGGAAATAACTAGGAGGAAAATGAGTTGCTAATTTCACAACTGGTTAATGAATAAAATGAAACTAGAATTACTACTCTGTGCAAAGAACTGCCTGAGGCTGCTATGAAGTAGAGAAGGCTACTCCCTCATTCCACTGTCCAACCCACCAGGGCCAAGACGAGTGTCCTGGGCAGCCGTTCAGCTGTCTGTCCAGCTCCCAGGCTGCCGACGGGAACAGGACCAGCTCCATCAGGGAGGGCTTCATCCATCAAATGGGGTGGAGACCCAGAAGGCCTCTGACTGTGCCCCAGGCCAGCATCCACCAGCCCCTGGGCCTCATCCACAGTGGCTACAGAGATGGAAGCACCAGGTCCTCCAGAACAGCAGGCCCAGGTGCAGACAAGCCCAGCACAAAGACCGAAAACTGTCACCACTGGGCTGCTGGTCCAAGAAGTACCCTGGTTCTAGAACCCCTTCCCCAAGCCTCCACAGGCTTCGTCCCAGCTGGGGAATGGGGACAGTTGAGCAGAAGGCCAAAGACTGGCCTGGAATTTTCTGGAATTGTCCACAGCCACCCCCACACCGGCAGACAGGACAGCGTGGGGCCCAAGAAGGGATGATGTTGACCTGCCCAACAGACACCTAGCACCACACCGAGTTTCCCAGATGAGTGGCAGCAGGAAGCGGCCAGGATAGACCAGGCCCACAGACAGACCTGGGGCAACCCAAACCCTGCGTGCAAGGAGAGCGGGCAGGGAAGAGCCAGTCCAGGAGCAGCCCCCGGGCCACTGCCGAGCTGCCCGGGGAAACGGATGGCTGTGAGCCAAGGACACTGCGCCCAGCCAGGCCCCGTCCCTGATTCCTGGCGATTCCACCCACATACATTGCCTGATCTGCTTTTTATAAACGGGCCCTGACACCTCCCGGACATCTCCATGCCGCTATGCCCTCCTTTGACTAAAGGCAGCGTGCACACCTGCAAACCCGCTTTTCCTGGCGCCTGTGGTCGGATCTGTGCCTTTCCAGTCCTGCTACAGTTTCTGACGCGGTGCCAACCCTGTGCCAGCCCAGGTCTCTAGCCCCGCTGCCCGGAGCACAAGGCAGGAGGGGCCGGGCAGCGGCACACGCTGGGAATGGCACCCTTAGGCAGGGCCGTGAGCGCCCTGCGGGCAAGCAGGACACAGCCTAGAGAGAGGGCAGGGGGCCCAGTGCCGTCCCTAGAAACGGAGTTCACCTGGCGCCCCGACACAGCTCCACTCACTGGCCTCTTCCTCACCGGCCCAGGGCTCAGGGGTTGCGTCTTCAGCCGCACAGCCGCAAGAGGGCGCCAAGGACAAGGCAACATCTCCTCCCAGAGAGCAGAGTTCCCACGATTAACCGCCTAATTAGAGCTGTGATTACGACAGAGAGCGCTCAGTGGTGCGGGGAGGTACACGCGGCGGGCGAGACCCCTGGAAGTGCCCCTCCAGGAGAGCTGAGCCTGCCGGGAAGAAGCAGAGCCCAGGGTTCCGGGTAGAGAAGATAGCAGGGCACAGGCCCAGGGCTGGAGGAGTGGGGGCTGCAAGAGGCGGGACGGCCTGGGCAGGGGGTGCCCAGGCGCTGCTGGGGAAGTCGATGGGTTGGGGAGAGCTG